AAGGTGCAGAGTTACAAATCACAGTGGCAAATGTGGCTTTATCTTGCACCCATCTTTTGTTTAAGGAAGATTTGCAGGTTAAGGGGGGGCAATAAGGTTTGTCCAAAACGTTGGTGCTGCAATGGCAAAAGATTGTTGTCCAGGGATAGTTAAAAGGCAATTGTATGGACGTCTTAGGTTTCTTGGGTTTGACAAAGGGGTAATGAATTAAGTATAGCGCAGATTTGCCAAAAATTATTCATGGATGAACAGGAACCAATGTCGATTTATTCTTGCATCAAGTGACGTGAGATTGTAATTTAAGTAGAGGTGACAATGGTGGGTTCTGTATGGTACATCAAAGTGTAAATCAAAGAGCAGAATGATGAAGCGGTTTAGTCTATGTAGTATTAAATTAGTCACTGATCAGTAAGCAACGTCACAGGAGTCAAAAAGTGGTAGAATGATAGTTTCAGAAATTATCAGGTGCAATCGAAAGGGAAAACAGTGTTCCTGCATACAAGTTATCTTTTACGGTTAGATTTTCTTTTAAAATGTGATCAATATGGGGTTGGAATGTAAGTTTTTTTAATTGATCGGTTAATCCAGGTATTTGAAACACTGATTGTTCACTGGTTCGGTTTATGATATCCGTAATAGGTGCACGTTAAGGCCACGTGAAGTGTCTAACGCCTGCTGGCAGGAGGTCACTGGGCAAACCCAGGTGCCATGGGTCAACTGACTTCATAATGATAATAAAAATGATCACCATTAACAACACAGACACAGACGAACAAACCCACAAAGACAACAGCCACCATTTACCACACAAAAACGGACACAAAGAGACATCGGAGTAACACTATTAAATAGACAGAAACATTGAAACAAGCATAGATATCCAAATAAAACCATGAAATAGACGATTACAGGGCCATCCAAACAATTACCAATTCAACAACAACAGCTGCCATTCACCATTTATAGCCGGTGACATGCCCCCGGGAGTGAGTGATTAAACCCGAGACTCACCGTCTGTGGTTCTAATTGAATCAAGACGAGGCCAGGGGAACAGGCGATGATCAAGGGGAGAGTGACACACGATTGTGGAAATTCCACATTTCCATGATGGTATCAAGTTCGTCCATAGTGGAATGTCAATTGAGAAAGCAATGCACACACATCAGTCATGATCAATCCACTGCTGAATGAACGGTTCACAACGATATATTTTTATTGGGTGTGCTGAGAAGCTATAGGAAGCTCAAAAGTGTGTGGTACCATAGAGAGAAAGGCGCTACGGTGGCGAGATGTTATGTTAGGGTCGCTGGCCCCCGAGATCTCTCCCTGGGGAGTGCTGACTGCCGGGATACCGTTATTACCCGACCCCTCACTGCTAGGCGAACCGCCGCTGGGTTCATCACCCATGGGGCGGGGGCCGTCGCTCGATGATTCCCCTCCACCTCGGGTTCGCGTGAGAGGCATGACTAGTTGCCGAGTTGTATTACTTCCCCTTCAAACAAACGTGATACCTCCCCTTTTTACACCGTTACGTACAGCTCTCGCACGCTGCGAGTGTGCGCCCACCTACAGCCCCGTGCAGCACTCGCCTCCACGTCGAATATCCCCTTTACAATTGCGCACCTGTATCATACACGTAGTGAACGTACGCACACACACACACAGCTCCGCATAGCACCCGCTTCCACGTCGAATAACCACGTTACAATTGCGCACCTGTGGAACACGGATCACACACGTGAGCGTACGCACGCACACACAGCTCCGCATGGCCCTCGCCTCCACGTCGAATAACCACGTTACAATTGCGCACCTGTGGAACGCGGATCATACACGTGGTGAGCGTACGCACGCACACACAGCTCCGCGCACGTTCTCACTTTCGCATCGAGATCACACAAGGCCACGATCAGCTATTAACGATTTATTATCGGCTGCCTGTGAATTGTTAAATCAGTGTGAATCGACAAAGCTGGCCTACTCTGATGCCCCTGAGTCTATTCCCAATTTATCTGCTTACGATATGCTTTTACCTCCTTACTCACGGTTTGAAGCACTCGGTGTTCCGTTGGTTTTCCTCGCTGCTCACCGCGACACATCGCACGGACTCCCGGATGGCCGAGCTGGGAGCCGCCTCGAACGCTGGCTTCTTCGAGTGAGCGCGAGTTCACCTCTCTGTATCCTCTTTTTATACCCAAAACTACAAAGAGATCCCGACTCGGACGCCATCCTAGCCAATGGGGTCGTGGCGTTCCCCATCTTCATCTTTTAATTGCCCTAACAATGGGCGCATATGCGCCCGAGCCGCCTTTTATTATGCCAATTATGCGGTGGCATCCATAACAAAGGCTCGCCGTGGGAAGTTGTGCACGGGGCCTCCGCAGGCCTCTGCCACTCTAACTAATCGTAACTCCCATCTGCCTTGTCGATCCGTGGGGGGTGGGGGTGCGCGTCCTCACCGCGGTGGCTGGGCGGCCCCGTCGTGACCATGCAACTTTGCACTCGAGCCACGACGCCGCGGTGCGCGTTAGCGTCGGAGGAGACCGTCCAATTCCCTGGCTGCAGGAAACCGTTAAGATTATCCCTATGAGGGCTTTTCGGGTAAAAACCTGTCAGCCAGGAGGTCTCCCCTCGCGCTCTATGTGTTGGGGGAGATGCATAAGTATGTGTGTTTAGGTGGGGGGTGGTGAGGGGGAAGCAGCGTCGGCCTCGCTGCTCGGGACGGCGGGATCGTAGGTGGAGGCATCCGCCGATCGACTCCGTGGCGGTGGCATCACAGTTAACTGTCTCGCCTGGTAAATTTCGATTTAAAGCTTTCGTGACTGTAGGGATTCATCTTCTTGGTTCTTTCAGTAAAGTCATGTAGAAGGGAAATAATAAAATAATAAAACATAATAAAATAATTCTCACGACGTTTCGGCCACAACGCAAGCAGCCGTCCTCAGGTGAAGAATAGGTCTGTTGGGAAGACAGCGTCTGAATGAAACACCCCAGGCTTGGAGCGTATATTTAAGCTGGGTTGGAGGGGGAAGAGCGCCTTGACTCTATACCATAGAGCCCAATGCATCTCCGACCAGGAACACATTGCCAGTGAACTCAAACACGTACGCCAAGCTCTTAAGGCTAATGGTTACTCCGACTACACAATCCGCAAAGCCATCACTCCAACCATCAAGAAGGATCCTGTTGAGGAGCCTTTCAAAACCATCACCTTACCCTACATTGCTGGGGTCACAAAAAAGATCTCCAAAATCCTGATTAAACACAAGATCCAGGTCCGATTCCACACAGTACATAAAATCCGTGATCTGGTCCCGTCTGTAAAAGATGTGGTTCCAGACATACAGTACCCTGGCGTCTACAAACTAAGTTGCCTCTGTGGTAGCAGTTACATTGGAGAAACCAAACGACATGTCTCGGACCGCATCCGTGAACATAAAGCAGACCTGAACCACGGTAGGACAAACCTCAGCCGTGGCAGATCACTGTTACAATTCAGTGGGCTCACATGACATTGATTTCTCAAAGACAGAGGTTCTCTGCAAGCCATCTGGCTACCATGAGAGATTCGTTCATGAGGCGATCCACATATACAAACACAGAGACAATTTCAACCGAGAAGATGAATTCTGGCTCAGCAATCATTGGAAGGACGTAACAAACCATTTTGGATCTTAACTGATTGTGTTCACGTTTACGGTGACTTTCAGACCGCAGTCCACTCGCTGGCATTGACTATATATCTTGTATTCTCCGCAGGGAATGGATTCTTTGCTCCGCTGCAAGTCTCCTATCACCACTCTCCCATTGACATATTTCGTTGCTTCCTCTTAGTATCTTTCACGCGACGGTCAATGGTATAGTGTATAGCAGATTGTATATTAATAAATAGTATAAAATTGTAATGTTTAATACAATTTATAAGGTAATATATAGTATCGTAATTGTATAGTGAATATACAGCAGTGTGATATACAGTAGGGTGGGTAGAATAATACATAGTGTAATATTACAATGTATAGTCGAAGGTATAGGGTGGTGTATAGTAATACAGTATGTAATTTAATGTTGGGTTTGTCTATGGCAGTATATAGTACGGGGTAGACCCGTGTGATGTAAGAGAAAAAAGTTTAGCTGGAAGCATATTGTATTTTTTGCGACATAGAATTGTAATGTATTACTTACTGTTAGTAGCTCAGCTTATTGGAGAGTATATTTAGTATACTGATGATACTATTTAGTTTTGTACGTGGTGGTTTAGTTACTGCAGCTACATACTATTAACATTTCTTCCCTTTATTAATGCTACCCCTATCCCCTCCCTTTGATGCTGCTAATCCTGCATAATGCACAGGCATAATATGACTTTGAAACCCCCCGCCCACCTCCTACGCATTTCACAAGTTGTACTAATCCCATATCTGCATTTCCCATAAATATGCTAAATTCCTCTTGATATGCAAATTCTTTTGTCAGGGCGCTCTTCCCCCTCCAACCCAGCTTAAATATACGCTCCAAGCCTGGGGTGTTTCATTCAGACGCTGTCTTCCCGACAGAACTATTCTTCACCTGAGGACGGTTGCTTGCGTTGTGGCCGAAACGTCGTGAGAATTATTTTATTATGGCTATTTATTTATTATTTCCCTTCTACGTGAATTTACCGAAAGAACCAAGAAGATACCTCGCCTGATATTCATGAGGTCGTGGGTTCGATCCCGACCCTAACACCTGTATATTTAAAGTTTGCCTGTTCTCCCCATGGTTGCATGCATGTTTCTCCGGGTCCTCTGGTTTTTCACTCCACATTTAGAATCAACGTGCGTTCAGAGTATTTAGCTGCTATAAATTTCCACGTGATACAACACTTTGTTGAGCTATTATTTGTGACCAGGTCGCTTCTGAAAAAGAGCTATATAGCTCAGTGGGCCTTACCTGGTGAGGTGAAAATAGTTTAGTTTAGAGAGAGGTTGAAAGCGCTGATGTGACGGGTTTCCCCCCAGGTCTTGCACCAGGGCGGTAGAGCGGAGCCGCGGCGTGACCACGAGCAGGAGGAGGAAGAGAGATCATGGCAGAAAATGTGCAGCGGCGCCTGGAGGAGCGAATCCCAGAGCTGGAGCAGCTGGAGCGAGTGGGGCTCTTCTCCAGCGGCGAGATTAAGTGGGGGGCTCCACACAGCATGACACAGATTCACACAGCATCACACAGCTTCGCACAGCATTACACAGCATTACACAGCATTACACAGCATTACACAGCTACTCACAGCTCGACACAGCTCGACACAGCTCGACACAGCTCCACGCAGGTACACACAGATTCACACCATCACACAGCTACACACAGCTACACACAGCTACACACACCATCACATAGCGTCGAGTGCTACCGCTGACTCCTTGCGTGTGCCCCGTTGCCAGGTGCATCTTGAAGAAGGTGACGGCGCATGAGTACCGCCTGGAGCGCCGGGCGATCAGCAAGGACGACTTCCTGAGCTACGTGCAGGTGGGGAGAGTGGAAGGTGGCCAGGGGGACACGGCCAGGGGGCTCGGCCGCCTGGAGCGCGGCTCCGCATCACCTCCGCCATCGCCGCCACGCCGAGACGGTGGTCACACTGAGATGGCTCAGACTTCGGTTTGGCTCAAGTGAGCCGGCTCTTGAGTGTGGTCCCAGCTATGCTCAGGATGTACGTGAGCTGATCCTGAGCTGAGCCAGAGCCGAGCTAATGCTGAACCGCTCACTCTCTCGTGGTCTTTGGAAGCATCCTATAAAATTATCATATTTGTTTTATTTTACCAGGTAAGGCTCACTGAGCTATATGGCTCTTTTTCAGAAACAACCTGGCCACAAATGAAAGCTCAAAGAATTGGCTTATGTGGAAAGTTATAGCAGCCGAATACTCTAAATGCATGTTTCTAAATGTAGAGGTAAATCTGGAGGACCCAGAGAAAAATCCACGCGACCATGGGGAGAGACATGCAAACTGCAAATATACAATTTTTAAAAGTCAGGATGGAATCCACAACCTCCTGTGTATCAGGCGAGGTAGTTAACATCTCGCCACCGTCCGAGCGACCTGAGCCTGAGTTTTAGAGGCTGAGACGCAGCCCTGAGACTGCTCAGACTGCTGGTTGGAGTCGATTCCGGCGATGGATTAACTCCGGCGTTGCACCTCGTTTGGGGTTGATTGCCTGAACATTCTGGTTTCTCACTCGGCCACAGACGGCTGCGGGGCCGCGCTTCATTGTGGGCAGTGCAGAAATAGACGTTTTTGTATTGCACTAAGATGCTCGCACATCTTAACCTCGCCGCCTTCACCAACCCGTACTTACCGTCTTCTATCCAGTGCTGCCGTTTTTTTTTTTCAAACAGCGCCTGTGCACTAAAATGTCACGGCGGAAAACAACTTTACAAGTGTCTTCTCTCCCCTTGTCGTGTTTTTCAGTACGAGATGAACCTCCTGGAGCTCATCAGTAAGCGGCGGAAGGTGCGTGGACATCTGGCTCATCTGTCACGACGATTTTCTCTGGGTTTTGGGGGTTCATTTCAGAGTGTTTATCGGTTTTGGTAACCAACGTAGCCAGCCGGGCCTCTGTGGAGGACTCAGTCAGTCAGCATTCGTTGTGGTACTATTTTGGCCATCATCTCTGAACGCCGTTTCACTCCCACAAGCACGTTAACGTTTCATCAGCAGCAGCTGTGGTCAATCCACTACTGGATGAAGTCCTCCGTCGGGACCATCATCTCTTGTAGCCGTCACGCGTCCTGCACCCAACAGAAGGACTCGTTCGTTTATTCTCTGGACGAGTTTGTTTGACGTGTGGCGACCTCAACGTTTTACTCGTGGCCATCGTCTCGTGGTGACGTGGCCCTCCCTGCCCCTTCCTGCCCCCCCCCCCCGCGCAGCGCACGGGCTACAGGTTCAAGAAAGAAGAGATCGAGGTTGCGAGCATCCGTCGCATTAACAAGCTGCTGACGCGCGCCACCAACAAGTGGAAGGTGGGCGCCCTCCCCTTGCACGTCCCGTCACTTGACGCGCATCACCATTCTTCCCGCGGTCGGGGCCGGGCACCCAGCGAGTAGCTCGGCTCGTGTATTTGCCCGGTTCGCACGGCGGGGCCCACTCTTTATTTGCCATCTCTTGCTGCTGTCTTGCAGGAGGACGTGCAGATGTGGCTGACGCAAATCGACTTCTGCAAGCAGTGGGTGAGTGGCGCAGAGTTCCGAGAAGCGCGGCCACTGGGGCGGTTGTCGTGACGCGTGCTGTTAGGACGACTGTGATACTGGGTCTGAACAATGCACCGGAGTTAGCCGTGTCGCTTCGCAGTGTCGTGCCTATAAATACGCAGTGTCGCCCGTATCTGACAATCGTCGTGTGTTTTGAATTCAATTTCTAGTCGACCTTCTGCCGTAACCTGTTGCCCAACAGCCCCTGTGTCCTTACCGATTGCCCTCTAACAATGTGCAAGTTAACGAGACCATGGCATCTGTTTGCGTGACTGTGCAGTTCGTTATGCAAGGTCGCACTTGGCGGGAGGCGGCCTAGGGGGGGGTTTGCGCCCTCGGTTGCGCGCGACGGTGCATTGACGAATGTGACACCATTCCCCCACTCGCAGAAATGCCGCCAGCAGCTGGGCAGGACTTTCACTACGATGCTCGCGATCCATCCCAGCAAGCCTGGTGCGCCCCTCCCCGTGCTCCACCACCGCCCCTCCCTGTGCTCCACCACCGCCCCTCCCCGTGCTCCACCACCCCCCCTCCCCGTGCTCCACCACCCCCCCTCTCCCGTGCTCCACCACCCCCCTCCCCGTGCTCCACCACCGCCCCTACCCCATGCTCCACCACCCCCCCCTCCCCGTGCTCCACCACCGCCCCTCCCCGTGCTCCACCACCACCCCTCCCCGTGCTCCACCACCCCCCCTCCCCGTGCTCCACCACCCCCCCTCCCCGTGCTCCACCACCCCCCCTCCCCCGTGCTCCACCACCCCCCCTCCCTGTGCTCCACCACCGCCCCTACCCCATGCTCCACCACCCCCCCTCCCCGTGCTCCACCACCGCCCCTCCCTGTGCTCCACCACCCCCCCTCCCCCGTGCTCCACCACCCCCCCTCCCCATGCTCCACCACCACCCCTCCCCGTGCTCCACCACCCCTCCCCGTGCTCCACCACCCCCCCTCCCCCGTGCTCCACCACCACCCCTCCCCCGTGCTCCACCACCACCCCTCCCCGTGCTCTACCACCTCCCCTCCCCCGTGCTCCACCACCCCCCCTCCCCGTGCTCCACCACCACCCCTCCCCGTGCTCCACCACCACCCCTCCCCGTGCTCCACCACCCCCCCTCCCCATGCTCCACCACCACCCCTCCCCATGCTCCACCACCACCCCTCCCCATGCTCCACCACCCCCCCTCCCCCGTGCTCCACCACACCCCCTCCCCGTGCTCCACCACCACCCCTCCCCGTGCTCCACCACCACCCCTCCCCGTGCTCCACCACCCCCCCTCCCCCGTGCTCCACCACCCCCCCTCCCCGTGCTCCACCACCACCCCTCCCCGTGCTCCACCACCACCCCTCCCCGTGCTCCACCACCCCCCCTACCCCGTGCTCCACCACCCCCCCTCCCCGTGCTCCACCACCACCCCTACCCCGTGCTCCACCACCCCCCCTCCCCCGTGCTCCACCACCACCCCTACCCCGTGCTCCACCACCTCCCCTCCCCCGTGCTCCACCACCACCCCTCCCCCGTGCTCCACCACCACCCCTACCCCGTGCTCCACCACCTTCCCTCCCCCGTGCTCCACCCCTACCCCGTGCTCCACCACCACCCCTACCCCATGCTCCACCACCTCCCCTCCCCGTGCTCCACCACCTCCCCTCCCCTGTGCTCCACCACCCCCCCTCCCCCGTGCTCCACCACCACCCCTACCCCGTGCTCCACCACCTCCCCTCCCCGTGCTCCACCACCCCCCCTCCCCCGTGCTCCACCACCCCCTCTCCCCGTGCTCCACCACCACCCCTACCCCGTGCTCTACCACCGCCCCTCTCCGTGCTCCACCACCCCCCCTCCCCCGTGCTCCACTACCCCCCTCTCCCCGTGCTCCACCACCCCCCTCCCCCGTGCTCCACCACCGCCCCTCCCCGTGCTCCACCACCCCCCTCCCCCGTGCTCCACCACCGCCCCTCCCCGTGCTCCACCACCCCCTCTCCCCGTGCTCCACCACCCCCCTCCCCCGTGCTCCACCACCGCCCCTCCCCGTGCTCCACCACCCCCCCTCCCCCGTGCTCCACCACCCCCTCTCCCCGTGCTCTACCACCGCCCCTCCCCGTGCTCCACCACCCCCCCTCCCCCGTGCTCCACCACCCCCTCTCCCCGTGCTCTACCACCCCCCCTCCCCCGTGCTCCACCACCCCCTCTCCCCGTGCTCCACCACCCCCCCTCCCCCGTGCTCCACCACCGCCCCTCCCCGTGCTCCACCACCGCCCCTCTCCGTGCTCCACCACCGCCCCTCCCCGTGCTCCACCACCGCCCCTCCCCGTGCTCCACCACCCCCCCTCCCCGTGCTCCACCACCCCCCCTCCCCATGCTCCACCACTGCCCCTCCCCGTGCTCCACCACCCCCCCTCCCCGTGCTCTACCACCGCCCCTCCCCGTGCTCCACCACCCCCCCTCCCCCGTGCTCCACCACCCCCTCTCCCCGTGCTCTACCACCCCCCCTCCCCCGTGCTCCACCACCCCCTCTCCCCGTGCTCCACCACCCCCCCTCCCCCGTGCTCCACCACCGCCCCTCCCCGTGCTCCACCACCGCCCCTCCCCGTGCTCCACCACCCCCCCTCCCCGTGCTCCACCACCCCCCCTCCCCATGCTCCACCACTGCCCCTCCCCGTGCTCCACCCACCCTTCCTTGTACTCCACCACCGCCCCTCCCTTGCACTCTTATCACCACCACTCCTTCCCCACCCCCGTGCTCCACCACCACCACAACCGCTGCCCCTGCCTACCTCTGACCCTTGTCTCCCTCACTGCGCCCGTAGCGCTGTGGATTCTGGCAGCCAAGTGGGAGATGGAAGACAACAAGTCCTCAGAGCGAGCGCGGAGACTCCTGCTGCGAGCGATTCGTTTCAACCCGGAGAGCACCAAGCTCTACCAGGAGGTGACTTTTGTGTTCGTTTATGGCGCTGCAGCACCGCGGTTCGAACGCCGCGGTTTCGGCTCGATCCATCGCCGCTCCTCCGTGACGAGACGGCGCGAGCAGTGAGCAGCACTCTCGAAGAGCAGGAAACTGTTATCGCAGAACTACTTCCAAGATCCCTGGGAACCCAGTGAATGCGCGGGTGGGTAATTGTTATGATGAGGCACTGCAAGGTCTGACCGTGTACGTCCAGTGCTTGCTGAGCTGCATTGGCTTCCAGGTGCTGAACTACTGCATGATAAGGTCGCGCTCATTACACACAGAAAGAGCTTGCCACAAATAAACCACGATACCTCGCTCAGCTCGTCAAGGAGCATAAACTCTCACGCAAACTCTGGTCATCCTCACAGCGGCTTTTGGCGAGCCGTCGAACAAAGATGGTCACCACATTGCGTGCTTTCAGATGCGCTTCTGCGGCCGTCTGGAACCCTCTTTTTTCGGATATTACGAAGCCACTGGAGCTATACACTCTTAAATCATCTAGATTGAAAACTCATTTATTTTGAACTGCTTTTCATGTTTAGTTTGTTCTTCACCCGCACCTCCGATTAGCACGGTTGGCTACGTATGGTGTGAAAGAAGTTAAATAATATATTTCCATTCTTTCCCCACCCCTCCCGTCTGCAGTATTTCCGCATGGAGCTGATGCACGCGGAGAGGCTGCGGAACGTACAGAAGGTGCTGCAGCTCGCAAAGATAGAAACGGTAAGCGTTGGCACGGGAGCTTACCCAGTCATTACGCACCATCACCATGATCGTCATCATCCTGGTACCAGCCCAATTGTCACCCATTTCCATCATGTTTGTCGTCGTAGTTGTCGTCCGATCATTCCGCGCCACCATCGGGGCTCTCATTTGATTGTCCCGCACTGTCGTTGCCATCGCCGCCACTGTGTTCATCGCGTTTGGGGGGTGCGTGCAAGTGAGCGATCGTGGGCTCTCTGTGTGTGCGCGACGCCGTTCCGCAGACCAAGGAGGACTTCCCGGACAACGTTCTCAGCGGGGAGATCGCGCAACGCGTCTACCAGAACGCCTCCAGGACGATCTCAGGTTTGTGCGCGCGGCACGGCTCGCTACCAACGACGGCCGCTTTTGTTGTCGTCATTGCACCACAAACCCGGACGGGCGTGACGGTGTGCTGGTGGTGTACAATGCACATGCGTGACGGTATCGGGTGTGCCAAGCGCAGGGGCACTGTGGTGCCACTGAGCCTGTCGAGACGTTTATAAGGAATTCATCTTTAATCTAACAAATGTCAAATGTAAAAATAAATTAAATCGGAAAAATTTGCTTGGCCGTGCCGAGTCCCGGTGATCTGATTACAGCAGCGTGTACGGCATACACTATAACCCTGTAATACGGCCGTATTTAAAGGATTGCAGTGAATGATGCGCTAATTTAATTACACTAGCCATTACAGTTGTGTGTTCCTCGCCAGTGGTGGCTACACACGTGCCCTATAATGCAGCACTGTAGAGACAGCGAGGGTTGGTGGATCGTAGGACAAATGTCACAAAACTCCCTTCCCGTGGGCATTGATGAGGAGCTCGTACCCTGGGCAGTGCTTGGGATGGAGCGCTGCCGCCTTCCACGCTAGGGGTTTTTATGCAGACGCTCCGGTCTCGTCCCGCATGCAAGCGCTCATTCATTGACCGATGATAACACCTCCATGTGTAGGGCACCGCAGAGCTTAGTGGGGGAATTTGACACCGGCTGACCGTAAGGCTGCTGCCTTCCCGCTCATCTGTGGTTCCCTGCACCTCTGTGTCGTCCTCTCTACGAGAGTTGGCGAATACTGTGCAACGCCACATTCCAAATTTACATTATTTTATTATTATTATTACTCCCAACGCTGCTGTCCACTACTGTATGGAGCAGAGATCACTTAAATGGATCTCAGAGGTAGCTCCGTGCTACCCACTTCTGTGGGCTGTGCTGTGCCAACACGAAGGGTCCGCACCGCTCTGCGAGATGCATTGTGGATTCCTCGTGACGACGTGTGCCAGTAGCAGTCAGGGTGACCCTGGTTGGACGGTGTGCATTTTAAACCCGGCGTTGCCGCTCCGCTCTGTGTCCACCAGGTGTGAAGTTCCACATCACGCTCCTATCCATCGCCAAGTCTTTTGACTTCACGAAGGAGCTCCAGAAGGAGATCTGGGAGACGTGAGTTCCCGAGTTTCTCCCCTGTGCTCTCTGCCTGCATTTGTGATTCTTTACGATGCTTAAAACATACCTCGGTGCTCAAAATCGAGGGTGGGGTGGGGTTAGGGGTCACGGCAACACTTGTAAAGACATCCAACGTAAATAATACAAATACAATTTCAGTACTAAATTGTTGTCGGCCTTTGTCCTTGGTGCTGTGCCTTGAGTAGCGATGCTTTGTGATACCGCACAGACCAGGACAGTCTTCCCCTCCATTGGCATTGGGCATCCGTGATTCATCAATTGACATCCACTCCAGTGCTGCCAACACGAGCCCTCAAGTTTCGTGCATTGTTTTGTTTCCAGATTGTTGCAAATTTAAATGCAATGTTTAGGCCGATGGACCAAATGGGGCTGTGCTAAATGAGACGATGGAGGAACAATACAAACGAGAAATGAAAATTAGTAAAAAATGATTTAACCGTAACCATGCATGGCGCGTCGTAGCTCGCACGTGGCACACCGGTTGGCGCGCAACGCCACGAACATTCCCGGCCGCAGCTCGTGCCGGTGGCAAGCGTTGCCTGAACCGGCCCCGACCCCCCACCATCACCAACCCGCACCGACCAACGCTTGTGAAGTGTACGCTCAAACTACCCCCGGAACGTTCCCACACGGCGCGGGGGAGGTCTTTATCCGGCCATGGATTGGCAAAGAGCCGATTCAGAATCGAATCGACAGATGCGCAGACAAGGACATCGAATCAGAATATGTATACTCCAGGAGGAATCCTATGAGCTATAAAGCTCTTTTTTTACAGATGTCCAGTAGGGGCACTGGGTCAGAACGTTACAACAACAAACAATACAAAACACGATAGTATATGAAAGGTAAACAAATCACTTAAAATTATCAGGTAAAGCCCACTGAGCTATTAGCTTCTTTTCAGAAGTGACCTGGCCACAAATGAAACCTCAACAAAAGTGGCTTGTCATGTGGAAATTTATAGCAGTAAAATAATCTAAATAATCTTAACCAGTAGTTCTTAACCTTTACTGCAGCCTGCACCCCTTTGGTTCTCAATCGTAAAAAATGTAAATGTTAATCAATACAGAGGTTTGATGAAACAAAGTAATTGTACTTAGGTTCCCGTGATTAATTCGTTTTTTAGATTTACCTTCTAAAAAAATCTGGCAATGTCTTGCACCCCCCGGGGGTGTGTGATGCACCCCAGGTTAAGAGCCACTGCTCTCGGTTGGCTCAAGTGAAGCCCGCAGCCACGAGGGGCGCTACATTCACCGCAATGGCCAAAAAAACCCACCCGCCGTGACCCCGAGCCGTTTACCCCGAGTTGAATCGGCAGCCAGTGAAACGCGACGAGCCGACTGCGTTGACGCGCCGAGCGGCGGAGTGGCCCGCGAGAGCTCACGGCCGTGTCCGCGTGGCAGCTTGAAGAGCCGGCACCCCGACGACCACCGTACGTGGGACGTGGTGGCGCGCCGCCAGCTGAGGGCCCAGGACGACATGGCCGCCTCCGCCGACACGTCGGCCGCGGGGCCTGACGGCGACGCCGGAGGATCGGGCACGACGGCCTGGACGGGCGCCGTGGCGCGCTGCGTCGCCGTCTACGAGGAGGCTGTTGCCGCTCTGCCCACAGGTCAGGAGTCGCCGTGCCAGCGACGCGAGTTCACGTGCGTAGCGTGACGTGGCCCGGCGGGATGGCGTTGGCCGATTGTTGCAGAGGTTCGCGGTTTGGACTCGAGCAGGCTTCCCTAGTTAATACCATAATGATGTCCCGTTTGCTTCGCCGTAGATGTTAAAGATGTAATTCGAAGAAGAGTTAGGGCTCTCTGTTGCCAGTGCCACAGTCCAGATTTATTACATTGCAAATCACCTGATTGGTAATCACATAGCAACTGTCATCCTCAAATGCAACAACTTGGCAAGACCATTGGAAAAGAGTCTTGAGTCTTTGTGCGGCTTTCATGCGTAAACCAGCGTAACTTACTCCATCTAAACGTGTGGGGAACCAGTCGTATCGTAGCTGGAGTGGAGATGACTTAAGTGAAAAAACGACAATTCCCGCGGTGGCGGCGGTGGTGGTGGTGGTGGTGTTGTGCGGCTGGTGAGAGTCCGCACTTCCACTACACAGAGGGGTAACGCAGTGTAACCACAGGCGGCCTGAACCTGGACTCGAGCTCTGGATCTCGGTGGTGCCGGTCGTGCGACCGGACCGCCGAGCCATTGGCCACCTCCGGTGTTTGACCCGGAGCCCTTGCTGACCCGGTATGTCTGCTGTGACCCACAGAAGCCATGTGGAGCTGCTTCATCAACTTCTGCCTGCGAAGGATGTCCAAGAGTTCCAAAGCAAACCTATTGGCCAAGGTGCCCACAGAAAATGCCCACTCAGCACTGCCCACCCAGTACTGCCCACCCAGCACTACCCACCCAGCACTGCCCACCCAGCACTACCCACCCAGCACTGCCCACTCAGCACTACCCACCCAGCACTGCCCACCCAGCACTGCCCACCCAGCACTACCCACCCAAAACTGCCCACCCAGCACTACCCACCCAGCACTACCCACCCAAAACTACCCACCCAGCACTGCCCACCCAGCACTGCCCACCCAGCACTGCCCACCCAGCACTGCCCACTCAGCACTGCCCACCCAGCACTGCCCACCCAGCACTACCCACCCAAAACTACCCACCCAGCACTGCCCACCCAGCACTACCCACCCAGCACTACCCACCCAGCACTACCCACTCAGCACTGCCCACCCAGCACTGCCCACTCAGCACTACCCACCCAAAACTACCCACCCAGCACTGCCCACCCAGCACTGCCCACTCAGCACTGCCCACCCAAAACTACCCACCCAGCACTGTTTCACTCTCTCAGTATGATGCAGTGTTGGTCGAGGCGTCTGTTGAAGCCGACCGATTCTTTCTCTGCAGCGGAAGGCACAGACTCTGGTACTGTTTGACCGGGCTCACCAGGCCAGCTTGCTGTCGGAGAAGCTCTACAAGAGATGGGTGAGGATTTTATGTCAATTTCCAGGATCATGACATCCCACATTCCTCAGTCTGTCTGTCCATCTACTGTCGCAGGGAGTCATTATAACTCTCGTGATGATTATCTCAGAAAAATTACATAATTGCATAAAGTTGTGATCTTATTAGGGACTTAACCTATCGAAAACTGGGCATACTTGGACCTAAATTTGGCAATGAAGAACTAGTACTAAATAGATAAGCCTTTTCGGCCAAGGCGATGACATCATCACATGCCACAAGCGCTCCCCAACGGCGCTGCTACGCATGGCGCTGTCTCGTGCACTATGTGACATCGTTGTGGCTCAGAAGGTGACCCCGCAAATCAATTACAATCGGATGGGGGGAACCGCGCGCTGTGGCGTGTGTCACGCCCTCGTGTCGGCGTTTTCCCCGCTTCCCCCAACGCGGCTTACAGTGCTCGTTTGACCCTCGCCGCGTTCGCCGCTGCTGCCGCGACCACTCAATTTCCCGTTGAAGGCTCAGATACTGCTGGGCGAGCACCAGGAGAAGGAGGCGGGCAAGGTGACACAGCTGATGTGCGAGCGCTACCCGCTCTCGCGCGACGCCTGGCTCTGCCACCTGCGGCTTCGCGTCGGGGAGTCGAGCGCCGACGCACCGCGCCTCTTCCAGGAGGCCACCGAGCGCATCCCTGACAAGGTGTGAGGCTCCGAGCTCTTGGTCTGAGCGGGCGCAGCTCAAGAGGCGCGCCTGCCGTTGTGCCGCTATGGCCGTACGTCACGGGTTGTCCAACCGAGGGGTTAGGGCATGGACAGGGAGTCACCCGGCCTGTGGACTTCATCACCCACGGCCCGCAGGCACGAGGCCTACCGTTTATAAACGAACCGCATGTAATATTCCCATCAACAGAAGAAGGCAGTGCAGACAATATCCATAGTTGCACTCTACGAAGCTTCCACATCTAAGCTCTTTCCTACCTTCACCAGCCCGCACTGACTAGCCTAGTGAATTGTGGTCAAATAACAGCCACGGCCAGCATGACATGGGGAGGCCCTTTGCTGTTTATTGAGTGAATTGACAAAAGGGCTGCACGTGTGTTTATTGTTCATGGGCATCTGCGTGTCTCTCCAAACAAACGCAGAAACTCCTGCCGGTGATCATCCTTTGGCTGAAATGGAGCAACGCCAATCGGCCCGAGGCGGAGACTGAGGCCCTGTACCAGGTACCGCAATTACAACCACAGCGCAAATGAACGTCTTGTGTAACCGAGCAGCCATTCGTACATGAGATTCGGTCGGTGGCCCTCATGAGCCGTTTGGTGGCAGTGGCCCCCCGTGTCATTCATGAGTGGAGGGTTAAGATAAATCTTGCCCAGCGGTGGACTCATCTCATCTCTTCAATGCTGTGGTGTTTTATGTCTGGTGTGACTGGCAATTGCAATGTGAATGCAGAATTAGGTGGGAACCATAAGAGAAGGTCTTGCGTCGGAAACAGTTCCGGCTTTCACACAGAGCAGCTATTTGGCTGCATGGCGTCAGATATGTAATGAGATCACAAAGATCCATAAGCCGACATCGTCCGTTCCTCAGCAGGATTTGCATGTTTAATTGTTTGCCAGAACGTGTGTTATGTTTTAATTTTGTGTTCCCTTCCGGCGGCACTATTTCACGGCCGTTTTGGTTATTATTTTCAGAAACTAGCTTTGAGCTCAGCACGGAAAGTGTCGATATCGGTCAAGAGGAGGTTCCTCAACTGGGCCTACAAGCATGGAGGATACAAGAAAGCCCAGAGCGTCTTCCAGAGGTTCGTGCACGATCGCTTTTCAGTGACTTCAAAAGAGATGTCTTGGCCATTTGCGCTTGCTGGCTGCTAGATTATTAACCACTAATATCAAGTGTAACACCATCTGTAGATGATAAGAAACTCATCTTTAAACAGTCTTCCCAATACAGGACTACAGAGCTTGCGGAATTATAGGCACCGGTTCTGATTTCCTACAAGTCTGAATTCTTCTCTGTCCCAGAGAGTGAACGATAACTGTGCGTTACACGTCCTGAATGATTATTATTATTCCACTCTCGGTAATTTCTACACAGCAAGAAGCGCAATTGTGACCAATGGCTTGCTCCTCCCATCATGCCCTGCATGTCTGAATGACATCACCCGTACAGGGCATGTACCATACACACAGCCTCGTTTTAGAACCTAACAATCAAAGCGTGTCTCACGACAGATGGTGTAATGACTGTCACTTATTCAACCATCTAATTTTCTTTTAAACCGTTGAACCGTTTTTAAACTCATTTAGTTTTCAGACGGTGATCTGCGTTACCAGCCCAAGTGGCACTGGTTATTGTGCGCGGCCTGGCAAAGGAGATTCATAGTTAAAACCACAGTCGGGAATCTAATCGCCCAAATCACTCCTCAAAAGTTGATATCGAGAGATGATTTCTGGGAAGTCAATGGTGGAGGAATTGGCTCCCGCCGTGGAAATGTGGAATATCTATTACAGCCTCAGATTCGCCGACAGAGATGAGCGTTGCTCGTCTCAGCAGGTAGACACGGCGACTAAAATTAAACGGCTCCAACATTGCGTGCACGGTGAAGGAGGACCGCTCGTTCTGTTACAAACATTCTCATCAAATTAAAATTGGCTGTCGTGTACATTCGGAGCCACTTGTGTATTTTACGTAGTCACGGAATCCCGGCTGGAGCAGTATGACACGTTTCCCTCGGTCCTAAGTGAGCGGTGGTGTGCGGAGTTAGCGGTGGAAATTCAACATTCCGATGGCAAGAGCCAGCCAGCACATGTATTCATTCATACGACAACCATTGACTTACAAAGTGGTGCACCTATAAAGTGGTGCTCATTGTATCAATCCCAGAGGAATGATGAGGCAATGAGGGTATGTCAATGGCACGCATTGTGATTAGCATCAAATGAACTACGCTTGCTTTGTTCTGGCCAGTGTGGTGTTGCATGCGTCGCCGATTGCTTATCGTTTGTTGTTTTAGTTTCCAGGAATGCAGGCCCCACTCGGTGGAGTTTTTCCAGCGGATGATCGCAATCGAGAAGGAACAGGTGAACCCCCCCCACACCCCCTTCACTCTGCCACCACTAAACTCATCGCAACGTCTTTCAGCATCGCCGTTAAAATGTCTGAATTACAGGGGGGAAGGGTCAAGCTCGGAACGAGCCAATCCTGCTCCAGGGATTCACAAGTCGGTGTCGCAGTTCAATTCAAGAATCTATTCTCATCTGTATTTTACCATCTCATTTGTATTTTCCCATTTTATCCTTGGCTCGTTTGTGCGATGGCACCGGCTGTACTTGCCTCTGTGTGACATTATCATACCACGTGAATGAATCCCGACCCACTGATCCTCACGTGCGCGATTCGACGCGGGTCTCGCGATTCGATGTGTCTTCTTAAGAACTGCTTTTTTTGTTTAATTCGTTGTCCTTCCCCCTGCACCTCCGATTAGCACAGTTGGCTACGTACAGTGCGAAAGAAGTTCCACATACATACGAGCATTAGCGAACAATTTTAATTGACGAATGCGATGCGTCGTTACGCGCCGAGTGACCGCTGCCTGCTGCTGTTGCCATGCGGGACGCAGGCCGCCGGTGGGCACATGGAGAAGCTTCGCGAGTTCTACGAGCGGGCGCTGCGCGAGTTCGGTGCCACGGAGCCTGGTGAGTCGCGTCGCGAGTGCGCCGCTCACCGGCACGCACGCGTGGCCCGCACACGTGGCCTGCACGCTGGCCTTCAGGGGCTGGTGGAGCCTTCGCTGATGGGAACACCTTGCCAGTGCCTAGATTATTACACTAACAATTTTTTTTTTGTTCCTGGGTAGTCAGTGTTATTTCCTAATTGCTTCTGCCTCAAAAGTACAGAAAATGGCTTATTCCCCACAAACTTTGCTTTTGTGACCAGGACAGTGATATTTTGAAATTGACCTATTTTTCAGAACATTCCAGATAGATTCAGTGCTGAGTAAACTTGGAATTACTTCTAGAACATTCTAGAACTTTCCAGTCATATAAATAGTAGTATAAATACAGGGGCCTTAAGCCCATCAGTTCAGTTTAGTTCCAGCTGCCTAAATAAATATCTGCATTTTTCTGAGATGGCATCAAGAGGCTGCAAGCATCTGGCAGACGCATTTTGCTATGTCTGCGGCCAATTTATCAAGACAAGAGCGAAAAAGTGCTCTGTGGAAGCATCTGGTAAGATGTGTGAGGCCTACGAGGCATTTTTCAGTATGCCTGTCGGGGATCAAGACAAACCCTGGGCACCTCATTTCACCTGCGAGCAATGCAAAAAAACTGTGGAAGGTAAGATGGACAATTTTTGCTCGGAATTTTATGTTGTAAAATCTTTGACAATGTTCAATGTTATTGAAAAAATATATCATATATAAAAAATGTTGCAAGAATCTCTTACACAGTCCTGGGTGAAATAAATGTGTTTGATAGGATGGTACAGAGGAAAAGAGAGCCATGAAGTTCCCTATCCCAAGAGTTTGGCGGGAGAGAGCAGTCGTCTTTAGCAGAGAGCAGCAAGTCAGAGAGTGAGGAAGACGTTGTCGATCTAGATCTTGGTCTCACCAAGTCCAATTGCAAGCTTTTGATGTCTCGGCTCAAGCAGTGGAACTTGTTGGATGAAAGTGTGCAAGTCGCAGATCAGAGGAAGCGTCACCAACCTTTTTGCAGCTTCTTCTATCTACGTGACTTTACTGAAAGACCCAAAAAGTATAAGCTTCTTCACCCGTCAAGATGGGCTCTGCTTCTGCCACAATGTGACCAGTCTATTCGAGGCAATCGGAATGGCCTGTAACCAGAATGAGTGGCGCCTCTTCATTGACAGCTCATCCAGGAGCCTCAAAGCCGTGCTGCTCCCTTATGGTAACAAGTATCCGTCTCTTCCCCTGGCTCACTCGGTGCACCTCAAAGAGGATTACAACAGCATCAAGACTTTGCTGGATGCCTTGAAGTATGATGAGTACAGCTAGGAGGTCATCGGAGACTTCAAAATGGTGGCATTCCTGATGGGTCTCCAAGGTGGTTTCACCAAGTTTCCTTGCTATCTTTGCCTTTGGGACAGCAAGGTGCACTACCACAGGCGGGACTGGCCACAGCAGACAGTTCTCTGTGGGGAGGAACAACGTCAAGTGGGAGCCACTGGTGGACCCCCAGAAGATGCTGAAGCCACCACTGCACATCAAATTGGGCCTTATGAAACAATTTGTCAGAGATAATGAGTCGGCAGCCTTCAAGTACCTTCAAGACTTCTCCCCTAAGCTGTCTGAGGCAAAGGTCAAAACCGGTGTATTTATCGGACCACAGATCAAGAAGATCCTGGAGTGCAATGAATTTCCCAAGAAGCTCCACTAGTAAGGAGAAAGCGGCTTGGAACAGCTTTGTCGCAGTGGTTCGTGGCTTCCTGGGCAATCACAAGGTCGAAAACTGTGGAGCTCGTTGAGACTCTGGTGAAGAACTACGGCACAATGGGCTGTAAGTCCATATCCTTGATGCTCATCTTGATAAATTCAAGGAGAACATGGGAGCGTACTCGGAGGAAAAAGGCGAGCGCTTCCACCAGGATATACTGGCCTTTGAACGCTGCTACCAAGAACAGTTTCACGAGAACATGATGGGAGACTAAATTTGGGGGCTGATTCGTGAAAGTGATTTGCAGTATAATCGTAAATATCGATAAACTACTCCTAAATCTTTTCTAGTCATTTTTGTATTACTTTAGTATATATACATGTTAATTTTGATTAATGTTTTTCCTGACTTTATGTGAACGGAAATACACATTCGCCTGTTTTCTCATTGAAAATAAGTACATTTAAAAATATCACTGTCCTGGTCACAAAAGCAAAGTTTGTGGGGAATAATAGCCATTTTCTATACGTAGGCATAAGCAATTGCGAAATAACACTGAATACCCAGGAACAAAAATTGTGTTACATAGTGTTATTATTCTGCTTGTTTTACCCAGAGAAATCCTGACTGAGTCTGTTTCAGGCTTTTTTCAGGAGGGTCCCATCAAGTTTCCGCAGCAGTAGGGAGGGGGGGGGAGTGTTGTTGCTACGTATGATCCCTATTGAGTAATTTGTAGGTAATCTTTCAGCATGGGGATGTTTTCCAATTAAAGTTGCATCGTTATTTTTTTAGGACGAAATCCATGCAAACTGGGGGGAGAACTTTAAACTGCATGCAGAAATGTCGGTAAAAAAACCCCCAGGGTCTTTTTACTGTTAGGCATGAGTGTTGCCACTACTCAACGCTGTACTCTACAGAAGAGCCTTTACACTGTATATATTTATAGTTAACAAGGCGGTGTTAACAATGGTGGAAAGGCATTTTCCGCTTTAGCGTTAACGTCTCTGCAAAGTGGTGTTCGTGATCTCAACTCTGATCGCTCACGATGTCGTATGTGCCCCCCTCGTTCCTCTGCTGGGTCGCGTCCGCTTCGTCCGCCGCCCCAGACCTGTGGCTGGCCTACATACTGGAGGAGCGACGTCACCCCAAGGGGCGGCCTGAGACCTGCGGCAAAATCCACTGGCGCGCCGTGCGGACCCTCGCGGCCGAGCACGTGGACTCATTCATCTCGCGCTTCGCGCTCATGCAGGCTGGGCAGCTTCAGTAGCGCCCGCAATGCCAGGCGCCCGCGACTCCACCCTGCCCCCTGTGTTTCCCCCCCCCCGCCCCCCATTACAGGCGAGTCCACAACCGAGCGGTGCAACGAGTCGCTCGCGCGTGGACTCGTGCGACGTCCACACGTGGACAGCCAATTTAAGTTACATGGTTTCAAGAGTGGTTGGGTTGCGCAATCGATCGCTCGGGTGTGGACGCGGCTTTACAGGAAAGGCGCGGTCCAAAAAGGGTCCCAGAGGGAAGTGGACATCGTTTAGTTTGCGGCAGTGCCGATCCACGCGTGTTGCGTTTACTTCGGTTTTGCCACACAGTTCCACACTGCCACGATTACTGTCAACTCTGTGTTGAGGCGCGTGGCACAAGCCAAGGTGCGCGTCTTGTACTCACGGGGTTAGTGTGGCCCCTGCAGCCACTGGAGTGAGGAGCATTCATGCGGACTTTGTGCGACGTCTGCCCGCACCTGAAGTCGTTCTGCATCACTGACTGCTGCATCCTCAATCTTCTCAAGCTTAACCCCAACTCGACCATTTTAGCGTCCCTCAATAACAGCCAGGCCACACCGAGGGTGGATAAAATCTGAGTCGAGTAGAATTAAAATACTTGCATACAACGTTCATTGCTCGACAACGATCCTTAAGCCGTTAAGCTCATGGTACACCAATAGGATTGTGCGCACGAGTATCAGTAATTCACAATGTATACAAAGCGTCTTGAAATTTTAAGGGTAATCGAGTCCTGAGCCCAGATTGTGACAATTGATCAGGTCAGGGTAATGGGATTAAATTGCAGAATGCAAAAAATTCAGAATATACAAACTGCCAAACTTGCCTGCTGCTGCCAACATGATGGAAAGTGCCGTTTATTTGCGACTGCATGTTTGTGTCTTGCAGGGTGACATTTGGCAGGGGCTGCTACTATCATCGAGTTTTGAACTTGAATGACAAAACAAAACTAATCTCCACGGTGGCTAGGAGATGTTAACTTCGTCACCTGATATACAGGAGGTTGTGGGTTCAATACCAACCCTGATGCCTGCTGTATATGTGGTTCATAATCAACGTTTTTGGGTTTAGATCACGTTATTTATAAATGTGTTGTAACCCTCCACCACCCGACACGGCCAATCAGTAAAAAAGTGTCACGTTGACAAAAGACAGATAGTTCACTGCTTTAGCCCACCGGTGTGTTGAAGCGTGAAACCACAACATTAACAATTTGAGTATGACGTTTCGCTGGTAATTGCATCCAGCATCATCGGGCAATTCGCCAGAATGGTGAGGCTCTGCTGGATGCAATTACCAGCGAAACGTCGTACTCAAATTGTAAATGTTGTGGTTTCACGCTTCAACACACCGGTGGGCTAAAGCAGTGAACTATTTGTCTTTTGTCAACGTGACACTTTTTTACTGATTGGCCGTGTCGGGTGGTGGAGGGTTACGACACATTTATAAATAACGCGATCTAAACCCAAAAAACGTTGATTATGAATAATATTGGTCGCGAAAGCCTACGTCTTAAACTGTATATGTGGTGTTTGATGTTTCTTCCGGCCGTGTGGATTTTTCTGGGTTTTTTCTCCACATTTAGAAACATGCGTTTAGAGTGATTGGGCTGCTCTAAATGTACACACAAGCCAGTTTGTTCAGATATTATTTGTGGCCAGGTCGCTTCTGAAAGAGCTATATAGCTCAGTGGGCCTTACCTGGTAAACTAAATATTGTAATAGTTAATTGGGCAGGAGTCGCATCTCCCTGGTGGCAATGCACTGTGGTGGTGCTTGCCTCTATTGGCAGCCCTGAGCCAGTGGTGGTGGTTCTGCATTCCCAAGGTGAGGGGTCCAGGCTGTGTAAATGAACGACCGCTGTTGGCTTCCCACAAAGTCGAGGGATGATGATCGGCTTGGGATTTGAACTTTCGGCAGTAGGATGGTGAGTCGAGCCCCTTTAAACAGTGGCAGCCAGCTGAAGTGTATTGCCCAATGAAAGTAGCATCAAGGCGCACTGAGGAACTCGTTTGAGTTATTTTGCCTCAAGAAACCAGTTAAAAGCATTGCCCAAGGATATTCTGCTGAATTGCGCAATTCAATTTGGAGGAAGGTTTGTCGGACTGGTTTGATTTGCATATTGGCATTTAAAACTCAATTTGCTAACATTGCGCAACGGCATTCATCTACAAAATATTTGAGAGGCGTGAGCGGCTTTGGCACAAGCAGTCGAAGCTGGTCACCACATGTTTGTGACGTTACAACAAACAATTATCGTGAGCTAGGTTTGTGACTGCGTGGCATTGCAATCTAAAAGATGCCATTTAAAAAGTGATGCCTTCTGACGCCACAACAGATTGTTTACATTTTTTGTTCAAGTGAACGTCAATTTCCATGAATCACACAAATGGTATAAACAATCCTCCCTCTTCCCAAAGCAACTATATTTAAGTTATCCGTTTCAAACAGAATGATATACAACTTTAAACATTTTGTATTATACATTTGAACACACTTTAGCAAAATATTAGCGCCTTCCACAAAAATTCAGGCTATTTTCAAGCACGTGGAAACCTGACCACCAATACATAATCCGAGTGTAGGGGCAAAGCCCCATTAAAACAATTAAAATTTTAAAATTACTTTTGGATAGTAATTGTGCATTGAATTAATCCGAACTGTCTCACGCAACGCTTGCATTTGCATTTTTTGTAATTGTGTTGGCAAGATGACGTAATAAATGTTTTTATTTTCCGTGAGTACCGTCTGTGCCGAGGTACAGCAACAACAGCGAACGGATGACCGAAAAGGGACATGCGAACGGAACGGATGTCAAAGTGCAAATGTGGAATTTGTGAGCTGGTTTCAACTCTGATTTAAGAAATAGGATGGTGACATGATACATTGGGTCTCGGTATCGTCCGACTCAAAATGTGCGAGTCTGCACGGACAGAATGGCAGCATTGATCAAAATAAACCAAACTATAAATTTTGACTTTTTTTGACTGCAGGAATTAATATTCCTTGGTTCTTCTGTAAAGTCACGTAGATAGAATAATAAAGTTAATACCAAACACGAATGTCGACTAGCCTGGTTCTTAATCGGAGTGTACTGGCAGTCTAATGTATACTGTAGCAATGGCTATTAAGCTGGGTGAGTGTAGTGGCAGTCTTTAATGTAGACTTATTCTTGGTTCTTTCGGTAATAAAATCAAAAACAAACCAAGACGTTTCGATCACAACACAAGCGATCGTCTTTAGGAGGAAAAAGGGGAAGATACCGAAGGCAACCGTTTATAAAGGTTTCAAAAATGGGCGTGGCACAAGAGCTCCCGCGGCGCAATTAAGTGGGTGGGGCACATTTGTCCTGGGGTCAGAGCACCAATGTGAAGCACAACATGCAGTGCCACAAAACGTCTTGGTGTCAGAACGAAGTGGGCGGGGCATATGTGCCCTGGGGTAAGATAAAAAAAAAATTACAAATCAAGTCATGGCTTGACCTGTGCTCCCTTGACAAGAAAACACAAATCAAGTCATGACCCAAAGTGCTTGATGACATCTTTCTAATGATTGCTGAGCTTGTAAGCATCCTCTCGGTTGAAATTGTGGTTGTATATATGGATGGCTTCATGAACGAATCTTTGATGATAGCCAGTGGGCTTGCAAAGTACCATCGTCTTAGAGAAATCAATTGTGTGTGAGCCAGCCGCATTAAAATAATGATCAGCCACGGGAGAAGTATTGGTCCTAGCGTGTTTCAAATCTGCATTATGCTCAAGAACATGGTCCGAGACATGTCGCTTAGTTTCCCCAATGTAACTGCTGCCGCAGATACAGCCGGGATATTGCAAGTCAGGAATCTTGTCCTTCACAGATGGGATTAGAAACTAAGCTGTGCCTGCGGCAGTAGTTACATTGGGGAAACTAAGCGACATGTCTCGGACCGTGTTCGCAAACAAGGCAGATCTGAAACATGGTAGAACCAACACCTTTGCCGTGGCTGATCATTGTTTTAACGCTGTGGTCACACATGAAATTGATTTCTCCAAGACGAAGGTATTATGCAAACCAACTTGTTATCAAATAAGATTCGTTCATGAAGCCATCCAGATATATAAACAGACACAATTTAAACCGAGAAGGGTACAAACTGAGCAATCATTGGTAGGACGTTATTAACCAGGTAAAGTCATAACTGGCTGTGATGCTTCCATCTTACCTACCTATGTTAGCAGTTATTTCCGACTCTCTGGGTTACATGACCTTGTTAAATTTCTCACATAGCTGCTGCTCCCTTTTCCTCGATGCTGCGGTGGCGCTCGTTGTTTAATAGGCTGAATGTCTCTCATCAACACAGCCGCTGCTGCGGGAGCCGTCTCACAATAACATGCTAATCTCTAATCTCGAGCAATACAATGGCTTCTTCAGCACCGTAGCCGTGGGGTTACATTAACAGATTGACATGCTCATCTCTAACAACACAATGGCCGAGGTATAGCTAGCTCTGCGATCTTACATTTACTTGCAAATTCCATCTCTAGCCCCGCCCACTTACCCTTGGGTTGTACCCATCTCAAACCCATATAAACCTTTGGCTGCAGTAGCTCTCTCGCTATATTTCTTCCTGCCTCAGCAGTCCGCCTGCTGTATTTTTTCACTTGAAGACGATTGCTTGTGTTGCGAACGAAACGTAATTTTTTTTTTCTACGTGACTTTACCGAAATACCCAAAGAGTAGCTTTTCTTTATTTCAGTCCGTCTTCAATTGCTGTTCACACACATCGTCTGCTGTTTTCAAGATGTGCGCCGCTAATGGACATCTTCAATTGTTTGAGCTTTCCTTTATTCAGCCCTTCTACAATTATCTTCGGTTAATTACAATTGGACGTTATAATTACTGTATCGTCAGCAAATATTTATACATTTGAGTCTCTAGTTCAATCTTCAGAAAACATTTTTAAATTGTACACCCAGGTCTTGAGTGAGACATTTTCAGGAGGTATGATGTTTTACTCATAACCACTTTGAGCAACAAATATCCGTTTAAAAACGTAGTGCAAACCCAGTGATGAAGTATACCATTTTCAACTTTAGCTACTTTTACAAAATTCATCAAGTGATTACACATTTTTCACACACCAACATTGATGGTGGCACCTCCTCTGCTTCCCCCTCTGAACCCTGCTGGCTCGTCCCCTCCTGGTCGTCACCCTGGCCATGCTTGTGAGTACGAATAGTCTTCCTGGTATCACGTGAAGACAGTTTCACTTCTGACACCAGTTGTAATGGCGTAAATACTGCAGGAGACAAGTTGACGGGAGGCAGTACGTATTTATTTGTAACACCCTACAGAACAGTCATCTATACAGCCTAGGAACACAGCCTACGGCTACGTGTGCCTGACACCGGCTACGCTCTCAGGTCCTCCGGCTATGTCCTTCCTAGAGGAGGCTATCTGACCCGACCTAGCCAGGGTACGGGTCCCAACCACTGGCCCATCAAACCCGGCCCTGATAAGGACGTCGGGCCGTGAGTACCCAGGCTCTCACCACTGAGCCACACAGAGTCCCGGCCCTGATAAGGGCAGCGGGGCTAGGGATCCCAGGGTCCTATCTAGCTTGCTCCGTCTTCATTCTTCACTGGCTTCAACGACTCCCCGAGCGCTCATGCGCACCGCCCGATATAGCCCTCTGCCCCCTGAGGGGCGGGGCTAGTGAGGACGTCGGTGTAGCCACCCATGTGCGGACCGTGATGTAGACACCGGCTACGCGATGGCTCGCTACATCCCGGTACGTACCACCTCTACACCTGTATGAAGACAATCTCTGACACCGTTGTTAAAATTTCATGACTGCCTCTTGTCAAGGAGAAATTCCCAGGGATGTAATTATTTCTAGTTATATAAAATCTATGTTATGTAAGAGACTCGTGAAAAGGTGACACATTGTTTCTGGCACTGACGCTGCAATATAAAAAAAAATTCGAACAAACTATTCTTAGGTTTTTTCAGTAAAGTCACGTAGGTAAAACATCAAAATTAATGAAAATAAAATAAAACAAAAATCACGACGTTTCGGAGGCAACACAAGTCTCCGTCATCAGGTGGGACCGTCACAGCCGAATTA